TGGCTGCCCGTGTTGCTGGAGGGTTGCAGAAGAGCTGCTGGAGGCCTGTGCTGACTGCAGGCACTGTTCCTCTGCTCTTGTTTTGTTCTGCAGAATCTCCTGAGGGAGAAAATGCCTCTGCAAATGATGCCAGTGCCCAAATGGACTTCAAGGTAAGGTGTTTCACAAGCTGAAGCTGGCACAGCCTCAAGAGATCATGGCTATGAAAAGTGCAAGATTCCTAGTCAGATCCTCCAAAATTCCTGGGCTGCCCCAAAATCACTGGAAAAAATTCTTCCTCTGACCATTTTCCCATTCCAAAGAGAAGCTCCCATCTGGTTTTATCTCCACTGCTCCCAAGTTTGTGACTGTACCATTTTGTGAGGCAGCCCAAGGTTGAGGCTTACCGGCACAGTGCCCTTTTGCTGCCCTCCAAGGAGCTAAGAGCCCCAGACACAGCAACGCTCTCAGGCATGCACTTTACAGCCCATTTTGCAAGAGAGTACTGACTTTGAACTACCCACGGTCCCTTCCCCTCTCCTGTGTGGCATTTTTTGTACCTGTCAGTCAGGGTACCACAATTCATTCATATTTGTGGTGTTCTGGGGTGCTGTCCTGTGATGCACCTCCACATCATTACCAACTGCTGTGTGTGATGGCACTGGAATCACTTCTGTGTCCACTTGAGGACAGCACCTCTCTGGCAGTGCCAGCTGCAGATCAGCTCTGCTGACTTTGTCTTTGCCGCCCCTCTTTGAAGGAACTTTGGAGTAATTTTTTGTCATCTGTATTCCAGACAGAAGGCAGCAGAACATGGGCCCTTGGCTGCACCTCTCCAGCTGACTGAAGGAGTAGGGGCCCTGCTCATATAAGTTTGGGGTTGGGAGGTACCTCTGCAATCAGACCTGGAAACAGGCTTCCTGGGTCATGGGAGGAACATTTGATACCAGGCTTTGAATCCATAATTCCCCCTCTGAAATTCAGATCTGCATTTTGATGCTGTGCTACTGTTACATGGTAGCACTGAGACAAGGGGTTGTGTCGTCACAGAATCATAGAATGGTTTGGTTGGAAAGGACCTTAAAGATCATCTTGTTCCAACCCCACTGCCATGGGCAGGGACACCTTCCACCAGACCAGGTTGCTCAAAGCCCCGTACAACCTGGCCTTGAACACTTTCAGGGCATCCACAACTTCTCTGGGCAACCTGTGCCACTGCCTCACCAGGCTCATGATGAAGAATTTCTTCCTTACATCTAATCTAACTCTTCCCTCTTCCAGTTTAAAGCCTTTGCCCCTTGTCCTACCACTCCAGACCCTTGTAAAAAGACCCTCTCCAGCTTTCTTGTCGGCCCCTTTAGGTACTGGAAGGCTGCTCTAAGGTCTCCCCGGAGCCTTCTCTTCTCCAGGCTGAACAACCCCAACTCTCTCAGCCTGTCCTCACAGCAGAGGGGCTCCAGCCCTCGGATCATCTTTGTGGCCTCCTCTGGACTCGCTTCAATGGGTCCATGTCCTTGTGCTGAGGACCCCAGAGCTGAAGGCAGTACTGCAGGGGGGTCTCACCAGAGCGGAGCAGAGGGGCAGAATCCCCTCCCTCGACCTGCTGGTCATGCTGCTTGTGATGCAGCCCAGGACACGGTTGGCTTTCTGGGCTGCAGGTGCACATTGCCAGGTCATGTTGAGCTTCTCATCAACCAGCACCCCCAAGTCCTTCTCTTCAGGGCTGCTCTCGATCCATTCCCTGCACAGCCTGTATTTGTGCTTGGGTTTGCCCTGACCCAGGTGCAGAACCTTGCATTTGGCCTTGTTGGACTTCATGAGATTCACATGGGCCCACCTCTTAAGCCTGTCCAGGTCCCTCTGGATGGCATCCCTTCCCTCCAGCATGTCAACCGCACCACACAGCTTGGCGTTGTCAGCAAACTTGCTGAGGGTGTACTCAATCCCACTGTGCAGGTGTCTATAATCTGAATAACCAGACTGTCCACCGTCCCACATCTCTCAGCAGATCCCACCGACCAGCAGAGGAGCTTCATCCAGTACAGACAGACCTGTTGTGCTGAGAGCGTGTTGCGAGTGCACCGTGGTGGTGAGGGCAGGCGAGGTGCCGACTCTGCCGGACCTGAGGTGTCTGCTGAGGGAGCGATTTGGCCAGCAAGCAGAGCGAGGGAAGCTGAGGTACGTTGCAGCACAGCCGGGTGGTCCGGTGTTCTTGGTGTGTGCTTGTGTGTGATGGGGAGGCAGCAGCCATTTCCCTGAGGACACAGGCATCCAGCTGTGTCTGCTCTCCTGGGAGCATTTAAGAAGTGGGGTCAAAGCACTCTAGCAGAGATTCAGCAAAGATGTGAGTGCACAGCCTTCCTTGCAGGGCTAACTTTACCATGGCTTTTGATTTAGAGAACAGTGTGTGCTCCATGGGCTTTGGAGGCCCAAAGGATCTTTCCCAGGAAACTGTACCATGGTCAAGAAATGGGGAAACAGAAGGAAAAACTCTCTGCAGATGCAGCTGCTCTATATTGGGTTTTCTCCCGCTCGACTCAGCCTTTGGGATACACTAGGGTCAATACTGAGCAATTTGGGAGTCAGGTGTAAGTGTGCATTGGTCTTGGGGTAAGGTCTCCCTGACACCCCTGCAGACACACAGTCAGTGTAGTCAGGAGAGTTTAGGATCTTCCCTTCCAGTAAGTGTGTGAGGAGGTGACAGTGTCACTCCCCGACCATGCCGTTTCTGCCCACTGAGCATGCAGGGTGGCCCCTTGTCACTATGCAAGGTGACAAGCTCAGAGCTGGCTTACAAAGGAGACTTTGAAGACTGAAGATGGTAGAGGACTAGGCTTGCCTCAAAGTTTGGCTTTAAGTGAGATGATTCAAGCCATGTTAATGAACCCTTGCAGCTACAGGCATTCGGATGGCAAAGAGCTGGGTGCGGTTTCGGGAGAGGAAGATCTAGGGAAGATGTGGCAGCAGCTGACAGATGGCAGGCTGACACTCTGCTGCCAGGTACGTGGGCTGTGACAAGCTTCTCGGCTGTGCTGGACTCAAATCTTTGCTTTGCCTTGCAACCTCCATGCTGACTTTCTACTGTAGGACTCAGACTCCCACTCAAGCAGACCCGTCCTCTACCAGATGCTGGCTCAGCACTCTTACCTTGCGCAGGGACCGGGGGACCTGGAATTCAGCAAGGGAGATATACTGGATATTCTCTCTGAAGGTAGCTCTCCAGTTCTGTCTGCAGGCTTGTACTGGGGCAGGGTTTTGGGGTCTGCTGCAGGGGGGAACTGGGGAATAGATGGCCTCTCCAGTGCTTTCTCAGGCTCATACTCTCAGGAGGTATGGGCTTCCACTGGGTTTTGCCCAGAGTTAAATTCCAGCCATGAAAACTCTTGCTAACTCCACTCATATGGGCCAAGGCTCATCCTACTCCTTTATGTTTTCCCAGTGAACGAGGACTGGCTTGAAGGACACTGCAATGGCAAGACTGGCATCTTCCCCAAATGCTTTGCAGCCCAGACCAATTGTGGTGCTGCCTTATAGCAAACAGGACCCTTTTCCTGCCCAACTGCACTGTCTCCCAGGGTTGGGAGACACCAGTCCCAGCTTATTTGGGCCACAGCCAGCACAGCCAGGAGCTCTCCTGAACCTGGACAAGAGATGTCCCCCACTCACAGATCCCATGGGGTCAGTTCCAGCAGTCCGACAGCATTTTCTACAGCCTATTGCCAGACCTGGCAATTTTACCTCTGTGCTTATACTGCCAAAGACATGGTTGTGCAGGGCAGAGAGAAGAGCAGGGACCTGGTGTTTGGCTATGGGCTATGTGGCAGCTCAGACCACAGGGGCTCAGACCGCTGGGTGGGAAGAGATTCCTCTGGATGGAGGTCTTCATCCCCTCTCCCTTGTTGCTCAAGTTTAGGCTGGGAAGGCTGAGCCTCACTTTAATGAAGCCAAGGATAGCTGTCTGTGAGCAGGAGGCAGAGCCCAGTTCCCCAGGCCCTTGGGCCATGTATCTTTATCTCCACGAGATAGAGATGCTGCTCTTTGGCAAGGCCTCTGTAACCAGTTTGCAGGGGGGTAGATGGGATAACACCTTGGCTTAGGACCACCATGTATCATCTTCCACAGCAAATACCCCATGGATCTGCCAGAGCCAAAGGGCTCTGAGCATTCCTCAGCCCACGTCCCTTTGGTTCTTTTCTTAAGCCCTTAAGTCCTGCCTGGATGTTACTGCTTCATGCTGTGTGGGCAGGGGTCTTGGAGGACAGAGGAGGGGTAGTTGTGGAAACACCCCTGCTCAGACCAGTCCTGGAGGTGCCGGGAAGAGGGCTGACTGGGCAGCACGGTGCTGGGCTGGTGGCTGGAGCTGGAAGGACTGAAATGACTGTCCAGTTCCTGCAGCTGACCTGCGCTGGGCTCTGCTGATCTAAATAAAGCACTCAAGTGCCTGGAGCTGGAACCTGCTATGGGTTTGGTGTCTGACAAAGCTGGGCTATGTAACTTGAATATAAAATAAAACCTGAGCCAGAGTTGGCAGCTCTTAAACTAGCTTCTACTTTTTCTGCTGAGGTATGCCAGTAAATATTTTTAAAGACAGCTGAGAGTGTCTTTGGGAAGATATTCTGTCACATACTACAACAACCTTGCACATCTTGCACAGGGCAAGATACAGATAAGGTCACCCCTCCCCTCAGAATTTAGGTGGCTACCACTGCTCTCCATCACCAGTTGCCTCCCACGGCTGTTGGCAGAGCAGCCCAGCAGGACTGGAAGTGCCAGGGAAACTGTGCTAGGCTGGTTAGTGACTTTCGTATTTGAAAAACAAAACAGATTTTATTTCTAGTTTGAATTTATCTGGCTTCATCTAGCCACCAAGTCTCAGTCAGCTTTTGTCAGCCAGATTAAAGGAGTCTTTTCCTCTTGGAGGTACTTAGAGAGCTCAAGACACCTTTGACATCTCTACAGAGACGACCCAGTTAGACCTCCTGAGCAATGGAGATGGGTCTAATGCCCTCATTCTTCTCCCCCTTCCACCTTGTTTTGCACCACTTCTCTGCCTGGTTTAGTGGGCAGGATGCCTCTAGTCAGGAGGCTGGGAGCTACTTGGTTTTCCAGAAACACTGGAGGAAAATGGCCACCAGGCCTGCCGCTATGGCCAGCACAATGAAGGAGATGGCACCTGCCCACAGACTGGGCTGGTGCCCCTTGATGTGTTCCAGAGCCTTCGTGGGGATCATGTTGGTGTAATTCAGCATGAAGCCCAGCGTCCATCCAATGTCCGTGTTTGCTGCCTGAGGTGAGAGAGCAGAGGAGATCATCCACAGGTGATCTCGCAGGCACCGGTAGCTTCGATGCAAGGGACTGAAGGGCACCTCTCCCATGAGCTGCCCCAGCTGTGATTTCACAGGTGGACCTAACTGTGGTGAACCTGATCTTACCAGCACCAGTTGCACAGAGAGCTTTCCTGTCCCCCTTTCCCAAGGGCTAAAGGGCAGCTGAACGTGGATGACTGCTCTGGTCTAGATGAGCCTCTGTGACTTGCCCATGATTTTGGATCTGAGCTTTCCTCTTCCCTCATGATCCTTCACATTTGGTCATATTCTGGTTCAAATAAGTCATGGAGTCTCTGATGCTCAAGTCAATTCTGGCCAACATCAGAGACCAAAGTGGCCAAATCCTGCTCTGCACTTCTCTGACCTCCTTAAAATTAGCTGATGTTCACACCAGAGGAAGTGAGAAACAAGCTGGCATCAGAGGTTTTGGGGCAGGTAAGAAAGAGTGAAGCTGTGCTGGGATCACTGAGTAGCAGACGGGGGCAAATTTCTGGTTCAGGGGACTCAAGGGATGCTGCTCCTGAACATGTCTTCAGGCCAGGGCAAGAATGTGGCCGCAGCTGCCTGCCTGCTCCCACCACCCCACAGGGTGTTTACCTGCCGGCCGAAGTGGATGCTGCTCCACGTGTGCTCGTTGAACTTGTAGCCATCGAGCAGCAGCGTCAAGATGTAAATCGCCACGGGGCAGTAGGTGGGTAGGTACTCCTTCTCCTGCGGGAAGGTCTCCACCAGCTGTGGGGCCATCGGGGGACACAGTGCAACGAGGAATAAAACATGCTCAGAAACACAACCCAGGATGTGTGCTCCCTGAGCAGAGATTTGAGATAGGATAAGCACAGGGCTCTTTGCTGTCCTTCACAGGGCTCTCACCTCTGCCCAGTTCTTCTTGCAGAAGGTCTGGACTGTGGAGTTGACGTCGTTTAGAGACCGCTGGCCAGTCAGGTTCAGGAAGTGGAAGGTGTAGTAGAAACCAGCGAAGGCCTGGGGATAAGGTGAGATGGTAAAAGCTACATCTCCTTCCTCACCCAAAAAAAAAAGACCCAGGGGCCTCTGTTGCCTGGGGACAGAGTCCTATGTAATTCCCAGAGTTCTGCATCCAGCACCCACTTGATGGTCTACCAGAAAGTTTTGGAGCTGGTTGACAAGCCCTGGGGCTGCTACTTGCACTCTGAGCTAGCTCAGACTTGGGACAAGATCTTCCCGTTTCCATCAACAAGGGCTGGGACATCACAGGAGGCAAAAAACACCTCCGAGCATAAGAGAAGAAGTTTGCAGATGGGACCAGCTCTGGGGTCCCCTCTCTCCCACCCCACAACCTGTGGCAGAGGAGACTCCCACTCTCCATCCTCCCCCACCACAGCCACAGGGACAGAGGCTCCTTACAAAAAACTGTCCCCGCACAGGCGGCTGATAAACCCCGTTGAACCCGCATGTCCTGTTGGCCCCACAGCTGAAGTTGAAGAGTTTCTGGATGGCGATGCTGCACGCTCCTGGGTCCCCTGTCCCCATCACCGTGAGGACCTGTGCAGGGCTGGGTGTGCTCGGTGCACGGACACAGGGACTGTCATAGAGGTCTGCCGTGGTGATGTTCTCCTGGTATCCCTTGGGGTAGCAGGGGTGTGATATCTGCTGGGGAGACGGGCTGCCCTGGAGAGAGTGTGAGCCATTAGTGGGGCTTGGCGTGGCATGCCAGTGAGAACCTTCCCCACAGCTCATCCTGTGCTTAGACATTCCCAAAAAGCAGGATCTAGACCCTAGGGGGATTTGAGGAGAAGCAGGATCCATCCTTTGCATGATTAACCTGCCCACAGCTTTTGCCGGTCCTGCTGTCAGCCCCATCACTGAGCTGTGCTGGGGTGACGATGCCACTGCCAACCTGTGCCTCGCCGCAGGGATGGCAACCAGGTCCCGAGGGCAATGCGTGCTCTCTGCCTGCACGGAGAGCTTGTTGCTCTTGGCATTTGCTCTGTCCCCACTGCATCTTGCAATCCCTAACCCAGAAAGGACTGAAGATGCACCCTGCCTGCATGGTCCCCAAGCATCTCTGTCGCCCACAGTGCTGGGCTGTACGCTTTGTCCGAGGTGAGATGGGAGGACACTGCTTTAGTGGTGAAGCGGTGTGCAGGAGGTATGTTGGAAATCCTCTCTCTGGGCAGAAATTGAGGAAGGGCAAGCGAATGGAGACAGGGAAGAACGTAAGAATACAGCTGGGCTTGGGAAATGACGAAAAATGCCATTACATGTCAACATCTTGGGAGAAGGGAGCCCTGGCAGGGAACCACCACCACCACCTTCCACCCAAATGAGTGAATTTTTTGGTTCAGTAGATAAAAACTAAGCCTCTCCCAGGTTTTTTAATTTGTGAAAATTCCCAATTCCCTAACACTTTTTCCACAGGCATGCGCAAATTTTCTGGAAGAGATTTTTTGTGGCAATGGGAAATGGATGAGCAGATCCAGGTGACCAGTGGCTGCAGTACCTGGTGCAGAGCTGCCAGCAGCATCTTCAAGGCCTGCGTCTGCCCATAGCAGAGGTAGCTGTGGGTGTAGAGCGAGTAGTTGGTGCCGTACAACCTAAAGAAGACTGAGGTGTTCTTGTCCTCAATGGTGACTCCAGGCTGGAAGGTTATTTGTGTTGAGGCACCTCCAAGGTCCAGAGCTCCGAGAACCTTGGTGTTCTGTGGATGTTCCCATTTCTCTGCAAAGGAAAACTGGCCCAATAAGACAGCAAGTGTTAGTCTGAACTGGAGGGAGTCACAGTCCCTGTCCCTTCCCTCAAAGTTTTGTGGGCTTAGAACCCCCTGAAGGACCTTCCACGTCCTGTTTGCCTGTTTAACCCCTTCCTGCCTATGTCCTCCTCGACCCACATAGACCTCCATGTAGCACTGAGGTCCGGCCCCTTAGTTGCTGCACATCAGCTGGGATCCAGAGAC